CTTATATAATTTAATTTGAGTAGCCAGACAGAGAAAATTCCTGAGAATGAGACAAGTCTTCACAAACATTTTGTGATGTGGACTGAGGGATTCCTGAAGTGAGTTGTATTAGCAGCTTCCTCCTTGAACAAAACAGCACCTGTGCAAACAGCCGGCTGTTCACTGAGGGCCAGAATGTCTAGAAAAGATCTGATGCTTTCCCTCTTCCATGAGAGTATCCTTTGGATGCCACTTCCTGGGGCTTTCCAAGATCCTCACTGGTTTTGCAGAGTGCCTGGCTGCAGCTGGGCCGTGCCTGATGTGGCATCTGGGTGCCAGCGTGTGCCTGGCCTCAGCTGCAGCCCCTGTGACACTGGGGAGAAGCTGCTGCTAACTTGGTGTGGACTTGTCTCACCTCAGCTGCTGCTGCCATTCTGGGAGTGGGAAATACACGCCTGCTTAGTCCTCTGTTTCTCACAGGAGGAAGAGGAGGCCAAATTGCCTTCCTAAAAAATTTCAGTAATGGAAAAACTAAGCCAGGATTTTCAGCTATGAACAGTCCACTTCTATCAGTAAAGTGAATTACGGCAATTCTGCTTTTCTAAAGGGCTGGAGGATCCGTGTCTTTGGAACCTCAGTGACTTCACAACAGAGGGCAGTTAGAACAATAGTAACAAAAGGCACAAGATCAAGCATGAATACCAACCCAATTCTACTCTGGGATTGTTCTTTCCAACTATTTTTCAGTCTTTTCTAAAAATTAAATAAGTGGCCAAATATTCTGGCTTTGTTCACAGTCACAGAGTAATTTGGAGTCAACACAAAAAAAGAAAGAAAGAAACAAACAAAAGAAACCCAGCCACAAGAGCAGGTAACAGAAGAAAAACAATTTCTGGCAGATTTCTTTAAAGTGGGCAAAAGTCTATCCCAGCTTCCTTTTACCTTTACAAAAATGTTGAAGCTGTAGCTCCAAGAACTACTGCATTGTGAAGACCCTAGCAGTTTCTGTATTGTTGCTTTTACCTGTACTGAACAAAAAGTACATGAAACCAGATGTTTCTGAAAACACTTGCACTGAAAACAGTACTGTAGGCTGCCAGATCTGTGCCAGTGGCAGATTAATGAGGGTGACTCATTTAAAACCAGGAAGTAAATGTGTCTGTTTCTGGGCAGAAAACACAGCAGTGGCGAACAGGAACCCAGCACACTGCCATCGCCTCCTCTTCTCTCTGCAGCAGATGACCGCAGTCAGGTGAGCTCAGTGCTTTGTCCTTTCTCCTGCTGCCATTTGGGGATGGGTCTACATGAGGCAGTCAACTGGAAAAGCATCTGTATCTCCAGATTGCTTACTTCAGTGAAAACCTAAACCATCTGCACTCAAGTACCGTGAGGTGCTTTTGGCAAAGTCACCAAGCTTAATATATTAATATTAAAATTGGGAGTCACTTACTTTTTCCCTTTTAGCGAGACCTCTGTGTCAAGCTAAAATAAATGTTTTTTAATAGGCAGATATTTTAAGAATTGAGAGTGCTGTATGTATGCATCAGTTTGGCTTTCAAATATAAACTAATCTTGTGAAAATATCTTCAGGAGGTGATAAAGTGACAAGTTAAGTATTGTCTCAAAAAAGCAGCATTCTGTTATTAAACCAGACCATCTCCAACTGATTTTGTTTTCTCAGGATAACAAGACCAAAACCTGGCCTCCCAAGGCCCCGTGGCAGCACACATCCTCTGTGCCCAGCACGCTGCCCAGCCAGAGCACGTCCCTGTACCCCATGAGCAGCCCCATGAGCCAGTGGAGCGACACCATGCAGATGCTCCAGTCGCCCATGTGGGCCAGCGACTGCGCCCCGGCAGCCGGCATCTCCTCCAGCTTCGCCTACGCGCAGCAGCAGCAGCAATCCCAACAGGCTTCCCAGCACAAACAGATCAACAAGGGCTTCAAATCTTTCCCAGTAAAGCACGAACGCAGACCATCTTACCTGCACCAGTACTAACTGCTCTTCGTACTGGAAATGCAGCAGAGGGCCAAATGAAAATTACATTACTTTGATTCAAAGTGCTGTGTTGGCTATATCCTGTTTCTCTCTTGATGTGGGATTGAGGGGGTTTGGGTGAGATAGACAAACTCAGACTTTGAGTTACAGTGCTGAGCAAATACGGCCAATATGTTTGGTGTACATGAAACAGCCCAAAACTGTGATGTAGAAATGCTTTTAAAAATGCATAATTGCCTTTACTTTCAAGACATTTTTTTTTTCTAAAAAGAACTGCTGAAGGACTACCATACAAGAAACACTGTATTTTATAGCTATTTTTCATATAGATTTATAGTTAAAACATCTTACTGAAACACATTGAATATGTTGAAGCAAATATATAGTGGTCACTTTGCTCAACACTGTTTGTGTTTAAATTTATAAAGGACAAGCTGTAGAGCCTTTGTATTCTCCATTACAGCCTGTGGGCAGCTTTTTTAAAATGAAGTGCAAAAGCAGCTTTTCCTGTGCCACACAAGTGAGTTTATTTGGGAACTGCTGCAGAAACAGCTGCAAAACTGAGTTTTTTGTGGCAGTTTCTAGGTGAAGATCAGCAGAACCACTCAGCCTTGTGTCACCAATGTTACCTGAGCTGCTAGACGTAGATGGCACCTGTGTGGAGAGGGGCACCCTGGTTCTCACACACCTGTGTGGGCAGGGGCACCCTGGTTCTCACACACTTGTGTGGGCAGGGGCACCCTGGTTCTCACACAAACCGTGTCCTGTGGCTGTGTTTGGCCAAAGGCATTATCCACACGGTGCTCCCACAGTGTGTGAAAGCAAAGCCTAAGAGACTACTTGCATTTATTTAAAGTCTTATTTCAGATGCTACAGTTGATTAAAAATTGTGAGCTGGCTCAGAAGATACTAAAACTGAAATGTGGGGTAGCAGTTAGTTAAAAGAACATTATTTTTTTTAAAAGGATAAAGTAATTATTTGCAGTCAATATGTGCCATTAAGTGAACCTGTGGAATTAGGAATAATCTTCCAACCAAAGTGGATTGGGGTGAGTGACTGGTGCTTACAAATTGAAGAACAATGGTAAATATATGTATACCTATCCCACTGTATATGAACTGAGATTACAGAAGATTCTTTATATAGTTAGAGCTTATTTAAATTTTCATATTTAATCTTTGAAAGAGTCTAAAAACCACAATATTTTCTGGTATAAGAGTTTTGACAGTATTAATCTTATTTTTGTATTTTTCTTAAGTCATATCATTCTAATATGTTAACTACTAGTAAAATGGGTTATTAGTTCTAACTACATAATTTTTCAATGAAGATAAAGCACATTTTTTGGTTTTGGTTTTACAAACTAAGTACATCTATATCTAAAGATACCAAAAAAATAAATACATTATATATATATATATAAATATAAATAAAAAGTATACACAACACTAAAACTATTAAACATTTGGGTATTTAAAACCCATCCACCTTTTTTGTTTGTATGGTGACGGGCTCTATTTGCAGGCCCAGATTGTTACCTTTTGTGCTGTTTGAGGATGCCAATGTTGCCTGTATTTATGATATTGTCACCATGTTTTCTGAAACTTCATACTTACCATGTTTACAAAGATTTGTTTGCTGTACATAGACTTTTTACAGTAATGTGCTTTGCACAATCAGTGTGGCTTCTGTCTGTAAATTGTTAATGGTCTGTACTACTATAATTTTGAAAACCCTCCACTGAAAATGTTAGTGGTTATTTAACTTCATGAATGGTTTCAAGTTTCCTAAATCTTGTTGTTTAGATCTAATATTAAATCCCAAATTTGGTTGTACTTACTTGGTTATTCATACTAAGACCAAAATGGAAGTTAATGAAAACAACTTAATTTTGAACTTTTTTTCTAACAAGTGCCAAAATGATTGCAGTTTTTGCAGTTTATTCATAATTACAAATGCTGGCAAGTTTCTGGACCTACGTAAGTGAATTGTGAAAACAAAGAAAGTTTGTCTGCATTTTGACCACGTGGGTGCTACTCTGTCCTTTGCTTCCGATTGTTCTGAACACTGGTAATTTTAAGAATTGTTGCACTTGGCAAATGAGTCTTGCCCTTAAACTTCACTTACACTGCCAAGTGCAAGGGTTTGGTGCTTAGTTAACTTACCCTTATTGCAGTGCTTCTTGTGAATAGCGAACGCTTCTGAACTGGAACTGTACAGTTTGTATTTTAAAGCTTCTGTAAAAGTAAACTATTTGCTTTATTAAAGATATACAGTTAATAGGTCATACCTGTTTAAAATATGCACCTTGCTGAAAATGAGCAGCACCTTAAACTGTAACTTCGGTTTGTAAACAAAGATCTTATTTCATTAACATGGGATTATTTAACAGTTTGAAAATTGTCAACTGCCTACTTACTGACTCTATCATATAAAAATGAACTTTATGTACAGTCCAATCTTTAAAGCTGCTTTCTCAAGTGATGGCACAGAAGAATATGGTACAGACAATGCTTCAGCAGGGTCTTCAAACCAGTAGTACAGGTGAATGTTGCCAAAGTCACATTACTTGAAGTTTTAGGAATCACAGAGTAAATAACGTTGATGGTAGTATGCAAAAAGTAAACTCTGTCCCTGTTGTGAGATCAAGGCTATTAGGTTAGTGTGTGTTAATTGTGGCACTGGAATGCCATATGCAGGGTGTGTAAAGCTGCTTTTTTCCTTCCTGGGTAGGAGCACACAAGCAAGCACCTGCCCAACATGCTGCCAGTACCCAGGAAGCACATGAACCCATTTTGATTATGCAAGAATTGACTTGTTTACAGAGCATTTCAAGCACGGAGAAAAAGCCTTAATAAACTTGGGCAAAAACTTGCTAAAGTAATGGCTTGGTTTCTCCCTTGCACATAATTGCTCAGTGGTGCAGCAGTCCTACTTAAAGGAAAGTTAACACTTCTGTTTGACTAAATCACAGAGCAGCTCCTTTGTTAATGCATTACATTAATTTAGCATATACTACAATTGACAAAGAACATCTTTAGTTTATTTAGCACAGTTGTTCTGATACAGGATACAAAAGAGTCTACTGCTTTTATATATGGAACACATGCCTGACTTTGTCATGTTGGAGGTATGAGTCACCTAGCATAACATTCGTTATTATAGAGCCTTACTCATGAAATGGGCTCTGCTTCCCATAGTGCTGTCCTGACAACCAGGCTATTCCCAGAAGTACACCGAATTGAGTTTTTCAGAGGGAAAAGGGAATGTGATCATTCTTAAGCTCTGTTAGTTACAGTAACGGGGGAAAAGCTGGCCTAATACTGCACTGAAAACTACTTCACATTTTAAACACAGAAGTACAGATCACTTTTTACCTGTTTTTTTTTCAAACACACACTTTCTTGGCTCTCTAAGAGGGACTCTTATTTCTACAGCCTCTGAAAGCAGCACTGCTCATGTCCAGGTATTGCAGTCAGTCTACAGGCTTCTGTGTGCTGGGCGGAGTGGCATCAGCAATTGTAGCTAAATAAATGAGGTTTCTGTGCAGGATATGCTGGTACCTATGAGAGGAGGAAACACAGGATCTGGTACACGTTCTTTTCTAGACAACTACCCATACTTGCACTCGTGTACTCTGATTAATATTTGCAGTTAGGGAAAAAACCCTGCGAACTAGAATAGTAAGTCAGGGGAAACTTATCGTGTTCTTACTCTGAATCCCGGTACAAGCACACTGAACTGGACTCTAGCCGAGCATGTGCTAATACCCCACATCGATGGGAAGGAGGACATTCAGCTCACAACCCTGAAAGCCGCCGAACGGCAGCGGAGCAGGAGAGGACAGAGCAGCTGCAGCAGCTTCCCCGCAGGTACTGGAGCGGCAGAGCCGCCGTCTGGCTGCCCTGTTGGGACACGGCTCGGTGTGCCACACACGGGCAGGGAGGGCAGAGCCCACGTCACAGCAACACTGAGCAAACACCCCCTGACCAACACGGCGGGGTCACTCCATGCTTTATACGTCTCCGAAGATGTTTTTGGGGAAATCCCTTTGTAAGCCCAGACGCATTTTCCTCTTGGCAGTAGGAAAGCTCAGCTCGAACCGCGTTTCACTCCCGTTACCGACACCAGGGATCCCAGCGCTCCGCCCTGCCCGCCCACGTCGGTCACTTACTGCACGCAGTCGGCGGCCCGGCCCTTGCTCTGGTACTCCACGATGCACCGGATCAGCTGGTCGTTCTCCTCCAGCAGCTGCGGCACAGAGCACGGTCACCGCCCGCCCCGGCCTCCGCCCCGCCCGCCTGTACCCCAAGCGGGCCGGAAGGGTCCGCATCATCGCCCGGCTCCGTCCCGGCCCAGTTTCGCTCACCCTCTGCAGCGTGTCCTGGTTCACCTCCGCCTTGCCGCGCAGCCGCTCGGGGACGAACGCCACGGACATGGCGGCTCCGGCTGAGGGGCCCCGCGCACGCGCGCTGGGCCCGCGCGGGCGGCGCTCCCGCCGGAGCTGCCCCGAGCCCAGCCCGCCCCGAACGCAACAAACAAGCGCCGCCGTGCCGCTTTTACCCAACAGTTTATTCTGGTTTCAAATTAAAAAAAACAGAAAGCCTGGGCGGGCGGGACGGGGCGACGCAGGGTTTGCCCCCGCCCGCGGCTCCCGGCCCGGGTATTTACAGCTGGAACACCTCAGACAGTAAAGAGTTATTGCAACAGGACAGCACTTGCCTCTACGGTCAAAAATCTCAACAGGTGTTCAGAATCATGACTTGTGGATCCCAAAAGGCAGTTGTTAAACATGCAAAAACATTACTAAACAATATTATCTAACTTCTACAGCTGTCAAATACTTGACCTTAATAAGGAAACCAATTACAAAATACTTCCTTGTAGTGCTATACAAAAGTTATAAAATTAAGATTCTATCAACCACTTTTAAATATTCCAATTTTTCAACAGTGCAGTTTTTTACGTCTTTATCACCACTGAACATTTTGAAGTAAAAAAAAAAAAAATCAGCAAATTAGATCAAAGTGATGTAATCTTTGGATCCCTTTATTCCTGTGGCCTTCATATACATACACAGACACAAATGACCAGGTTTCTATTTCAGCATATCAGAAAGTTGCAACTAGTTATCCAGAAGTGGCAAAAAGTCCATACTGTCATTTGTGACTTCGTGGTCTTAGAACCAGAGTCTCAATGTCTCCAAGCTACGGTCTATCAAAATGCAAACAACTTCAAACACTAAGAATTCTTTAAATTGCTCATTTCTACAGGTATTACAACAAAGTTAACGTTTCAAGAATTGACAAATGGAGACAGACTTTTATCCCAGGCATTCCAGGAGAATCACCAACTCGTGTGCCTGGTCCATTATTAAAAAAAGTTAATATTTCTCACTAAGTAAAATTAATTGCAAATCTTGACATATGAAAATTCCTTTTCACCTTTTCTTTGAAAATATCTCCTTAACTTGGTCAAATCCTGTGATATGCCAGAAACTACAAAATCAAATTCTTGCAAGAGCAGTGAAGCGTGTATCCAGTTTTGTGTAATGGAAGAACATTTTCAAAACTTCATTATAGTCCAAATATAAAATCAAACATTTAAGCTTGAAAAGCTGCTAAAGAAAAAAAACCCCAACTAATTCAGTGTTCTTCAGCATATCAACTTTCTGCAATAACAGTATGTTTACCGACTTAAAAATGTTTATTCTTTAAAAAATTAGTTGCTTTTTATACAGCTATACAAAGTTTGTAATGTTTCTTTGGCAATGGGATATAATGGAATTTTACAACTATATAAAAACTTTCCTTTGCCTAAGAAACAGTATTTACTGTGTGTACATATCTGACTGACAAAGCAAGTTTTCTACTGTCCAGCACCCTAGTTGATACAAGAACAACTACCTCAAAAGGGATTTTACAGGATTTCCAAAAAACAACCTTCGGTGGGTCAAAACACTCACAGTATCGACGGCCTTCTGCATACCATTGTCCTTACAACTTGAAGCAATTATCAAATACAGTTTAGTAATAAGAAAAATCCTTTCAGTGATGAAAAAATACTTAAACTCCATCGAAGTACTGCTTATAATTAACTATACATAAGAAATTACTTATCCTTCTGTCTCAAATATATTTAATGCTTACTGTTTTCAAAGATGGCCATTTCTCAAAAGTAACTGCATTACACCCCTTTGAAATTAAATAGTTAAATCCCAGTGCTGGTGACAAGTATACAGCAAATTCATTCTTTGCAGAGATCAAAACTAATTCTCTGATTCAAGAAGATCTAGACGTTCACCTGGTTTCAGCTTTCTTGTAGACTACGCAGCAACTTTGTTGTCTTTCTAGAGGGAACAGAAGTACAGTGTTAAAATTCGTTTTGCAAAACAAACCTTACAAACCAATCTGGGCAACAGCCCTGGGAGCAGTTGTGCTGTGCTGGCTATCCCCCGTGTCCTGCAGCAGAAGGGAGACCTCCGGAGGAGACGAGGCTGGCATCTGGTCAAAGCCCCTCAGTTTGGCACTGAGTAGAGCGGCTCTTCACTCCGAATAGAAGCACAGCACAAATCCTCAGCCCTTACACCATCTCCTACTCAACTGGAAGGCAGCAAGATCTTGTTCAGAAATTCAAATTGCTAATCTTTGATCCCTCATTTCCATTCACATTCAGCTACCCAAAGTTTCTTTTAGTCACAGGACTAACTGTTGCGAAATAATCAAGGAACAGCTGAGAGATGTCTCACAACAGAGAGGAATATGCTGTGATGAAACCCCTCATTTTTTTAATTTAAAAAAAATTAAATTACTATCAAAGATCAGAGATTTTTGTTTGCAAAACTCTAACTGCTCATGCAGTAAACTAACAGAAGTTTCTCTACTGTCCCAGTCAGAACTCTAAAAGCCTTGTTTATCTGAACCAATCTGGATTGTTCTTTGTTACTGATTTTAACCAGTACACCAGTTAATAGGATTTGTGCCAACTCATTTCACAATGATTCAGAAGTTTGTTGCACACTGGAAGCAAGTTAAATTATTCCTTCTCATTCTTTGTATTTTACAATATTGCTTGGAAAATGCTTGCAATTTACATTTCTAACACTCGCATTCCATCTGTAGAACTCTTTTTTCCCCTTTCTTTTTTTTTTTCCTCCCCAATACCAGCTATCAAATAGCTATTCAGGTCATGTGATGAAAGACAACCTTTATTTTTGATTGCTGTTGATAGTAAAATGATGCAATGTAACTAAAATTTCAGCATTAATGGACTTTCAAAAAGTAGCTCAGAGTCCCTGCCGAATGCCGCTCAAGAAATTCTTGTTCAACATCAAATCTAAAGGCAGGAGATTTTGAGCACTCCTTTCCCAGAGCAGTGGATTGGGTCAGAGCCACGTGCAGTGCACCTTACCCTATACTCGAAGTCAGCGAACTCCCTCCCTCCGCGGCCTCCTCGGAAGCCGCCGCGGAAGCCGCGGGGGGCGGGGAAGCCGCCCCTGCCGCCCCCCCGGCCTCTGCCCCCTCGGAAGCCGATGACGCCCCGGCCCCTGTAGCCGCCGCGGCCGCGGTTGGGACGCAGGGGGATGCCGAAGGTCTCGGCGTTCAACCGCCGCTCCTCGGCCCAGGTCGGTCGCCGCTCCCTGCAGCACAGAACGAACACGGATTGCTGTGAAACACTTGGTGAGGAAGGGAGAGGCGCCAGAAAGCGCCTGAGATTAAAAATGATGCATTAATCACATGGGAAATCTCCATGGTATCCCTTCCACAAGAACCCAGGTGTCTGCTACACTTCACTGGACTCAACAAGAAGGAACATATTACAGAGTCATTAATTAGATATTAATAATGCTCTAAGAGTTTGCCATATTGAAGAACACACTCTGCATCCTCTGCACACAGTATCATTTAAAGCAAGAAACAGTTTACAGTTACGGATGTTATTTTATCTGGCTTCGAGTACAATCAACAACTCCCCTCCTGCAAGTCAAAATAGGTCAGCAATCCACATTGTCATGTCTAATAAAAATGCAGCAGCACAAGATAAGCTTTAATTTTCCTGAAATGCTTTCTGCCCACTTGAATAACACTACTAGCCAAGACAGTTATGTAATCTGCTTAGAAACCATTACAAAAGCAGGGTCATAATTGATTTAACTGAAGTGTTAATTTAGGACCAAAGCAAAACAAACAAAACAAACCAAACCCCCCCATCTTAGTAAATCTGGGAAGGAGATTCTAGAGCCTGTGCATTAAGTTCTAAAAGCATGGCTCTAAAACATCTTAAAATACCTTGCTATGACCACATTGCACCTGCCCACAAAGAAATTTTGTGCTTCTCCTGTTTTATTTTTGCCAGCTGCAGAGGAAATAAGCTCTAATCACCTTTGATTCAGAGTTGATTGGAATCAGTAGCACTGACAGTACTGTAAGATATAAACATGCATTAAGCACACTAACAAGCTTCTCCTTGCAGGACATACCTATTGTCATCACAGGAAATGTTATCAAAGAAGGATTTGGTTTTGTCATAGTAGCAATTGGGTCCAAGTGGATCTTCCTCATCGGCATTCCCTTCACTGTTTTGGGTATCAACACCTGAGTCACCTTTGTCTTCTCCATTTACAGGCTTCTCTGGTTTCTCAAGTTTATCTTCTGGAAAACAAAAAGAAAACAGAAGCCTAAAAAACCTAGCAGTATCCACTTCTTCCCAGTCAGAGAGGAACTATACTGAATGCTACAAAAATAATTCAATGTGGAAGTCAAATAATTTCACATGTAAATTAGAATGTATTGCTGCTGCTGTCTGGAGGTTTCTATGCTTCCTGTGGGTTAAGTTAACAAAAAAACCCTGGGCAGAATGGATTTGATAGCCATCTATTTTCTCCCCTCTTTAGCTACCTCCTTCCTGGGCTTAAGAGCCTCATTCAGTGAATCCTCCTGAAAGCTATCCCATGGTTTTGTTCATTCCTGTTGTCCTTCTCCTTTGTCTTCTGGTTTTGCTGTTATCTCCTTTAAGACACAGGGCCAGCATTCTGACTTTATGTTGTATTTATTTCCTAATAATGCTAAAAGTTCAGCTTACTGTTTTGACTGGTACTGAAAACAAAGCTGACAGCTCAACACCTGCAGCTATTACTATCTTCAAATCTCATTCCTAAATGTATACAGCTTAAATCTCACAATGCTGTGCATAAACTTCACGTAACTAGCTCAACCTTTCCACACCACAAGAATTACCACACTCAGAAACATTTCTACAGCTATTTATAGCTATAAATTATACTCTATATAATACATATTATAAATCATATTATAAAATACTATAATACTAATATATTATGCATATAAAACATATATAGTATTTTATATATGATATATAATATGCATAATATTATAGCTTTCCCTTTTCCATTTATTATTCTGAAAAAAATAACAGTACCAACAGCAAACCAACTCACTGAA